TATATATATATATATATATATATATATATATATATATATATATATATATATATAGTTGAAGTCAGAATTATTAGCCCCTCTGAATTATTAGCACCCCTGTTTATTTTTCCCCAATTTCTGTTTAACAGAGGGAAGATTGTTTCAGCACATTTCTAAGCATAATAGTTTTAATAACTCATCTCTAATAACTGATTTATTTTCTCTTTGTCATGATGAAAGTAAATAATATTTTACTTGATATTTTTCAAGACACTTCTATACAGCTTAAAGTGACATTTAAAGGCTTCACTAGGTTAATAAGGTGAACTAGGCAGGTTAGTGTAATTAGGGAAGTTATTGTATAACGATGGTTTGTTCTGAAGATTATCGAAAAAAAAAATTAGCTTAAAGGGGCTGATAATTTTGTCCCAAAAACGGGTTTTAAAATTTAATAACTGCTTTTATTCTAGCAGAAATAAAAACAAATAAGACTTTCTCCAGAAGAAAAAATATTATCAGACATACTGTGAAAATTTCCTGAATCTGTTAAAAATCATTTGGGAAATATTTAAAAGAGAAAAAAAATCAAAAGGGGGCTAATAATTCTGACTTCAACTGTATATGTATGCTACTTGTACAGTTCTACTCAGCTGTCATCCAATCCATCCTCTGCACTTCAATCACCGTCTGGTTCAGCTCAGCTGCCAAAACCGACCTCTGCAGCCTCGTTTTGGTTCTTTAAAATGGCGGCCACGTGAAATAAGCGTATAGTGGAATAATTGACTCCAGTCCATTAAATTATTAGAACATAATGCAAACCCAGTGTGTAATGGCCATTTATGATATGAGATTACGTATATCCTGATATGAGATTTTTTTTTTTTGTCATATATCTCCCAGCTGTAGTCAAAGGTAAGCAGTGGATCATAAACCTGTGACTTACCCTGCTGAGCTGCTCCAGCAGGCGGTGGTTCTGTTCTGAAAGTTCACTGATGGCTCGGCTCTTTTCCCGGTCGGCGTCCCGCAGCTGCAGCTGATGTCTCTCCAGCTCCCCCTGCAGGTGCTGCACATCCGTCTCCAGTTCAGCCACGCGGCCCTCCCACTCGCCCTCACGGCTCTCCAGACGCCGCCGCAGCTCGTGCTTCTCCTGCTCCAGCAGCTGCTCCACACACAAAACACAGGTACTCATGCTTAAAAATGCTTTACTATTTTATTATACATTTACATTTCATAGTATACATTTTATATTATATTATATTATTTTATTAATAGTTCTGAAACTTGTGGGAGTGGGCGAAGTTAAAGATCTCTCTTTATGCAATGAAACTCTCTAATTGGTGGATTGTTTTATATACGGCATCATGGGAAATGTAGTTTTTCTGTGCAAAGTTTACTATTAAACATGCTTGTTTGCAAAATATGTTGAATTAATGCAAACAGATGGCTTCAACAGCAACATGTACAGCTTTATAGTTCACAAAACGTTTCTAAAATGTAATGTGTGTATTTATATAGCGCATTTATCGCTTCACAATCATGAGTTGGGTCTCTCCACCAGTGTGCAGCATCCGCTTGGATGATGTGACGGCAGCCACAGGACAACGGCGCCAGTGCTTCACCACACACCAGCTATTGGAGGAGTGAAGAGACAGTGATAGAACCAATTCGGTGGATGGAGATGATTGGGAGGCCATGATCGGTAAGGGCCGATGGAGGGATTTAGCTAGGACATCAGGGTTATATCCCTACTGATGCTCTATTTTTAATGACCACAGAGAGTCAGGACCTCGGTTACATCTCATCCGAAAGACGGCACTCACTGACAGTGTAGTGTCCCCTTTACTTTAATGGGGCATTAGGACTCACACAGACCACAGGTTGAGCGCCCCCTGCTGGCCTCACTAACACCACTTCCAACAGCAACCTAGTTTTCTCTTGTGGTCTCCCATCCAGGTACTGACCAGGCTCATCCCTGCTTAACTTCAGTGAGTAACCGGTCTTGCAGGATAATATAGCTGTGGAAAAAGGTTCCAAGGTTTAAACCTATAAAGGTATTAGTTACCTTTAAAAACTTCCCCAAAGGAGAAAAATAATGATTAGCTCCAGATATTTTAAACAATTTGTTTAAGGCAGGGATCTCAAACTCGCGGCCCGCGGGCCATTTGCGGCCCTCAGTGCAATATTTTGTGGCCCGCACCGACCGCTGTACACTGACAGAATCAGCGGAGCGGGGAGAGAGAGCGCTCCCCGCTCCGCTGATTCAATCCGTACACAGCGCGCTTGTCATTCAATGCGTGTTGTCGCGCGCGTTTTGATCAGCTGTGTTGTTGCGCGCGTACTCAAGAGCGGTGTTATCGCGCGCCTACTGAAGGGCGGGACCGAGGGTGTGTCGCGTCGCGGGGGGCACTTTTGATCATTTTGGAAGGGCACTTTCTATGCAAGACTAAAAAGGGCATGTGCTCTGCACAGGTTGAGCCCTATGTGTGCACGTGCCTGCCCTGCATCTTATATATATTATAGGTAAATACAGACTGGTACAGACTGATGTGACTGGAGTGGGGTGGGGGTGTTTTATTTATACATATATACGCCTTTTTTTAGGTGAGGGAATGGAAGTTTTGAGTGAGTTCCCCCACTTTTTTCCCTAGGACTTCAATAAGTCAAAGTACAGGTCTAGACTTAATGATGATCATCTTCAGGCCATACTGAGGGTCTCAACTGCTTCCGCTCTAAAGCCAAATGTGGTTCAGATTTGTGAGAAGAAGCGTTGTCAAGTCTCTGGCAGCAAGGAGTAGGCAAAAGATGCCATGTTCAGAAGAACTGTTCATAATCTTCACTAAATGTTCTATTAATGTTCAGGAAACTTCATGTTCAGAAGAAATAATTAAAACTGTTAATAATGACATTTGAGGACTTTTTTTTTGTAAAATCCCTTATGCGGCCCAGCCTCACCAAGACTTTGCCTCCTGCGGCCCCCAGGTAAATTGAGTTTGAGACCCCTGGTTTAAGGGGTCTCCAGGATGTATGTGAAGATTCAGCTCAAAATATATCACGGCCATTTATTACACCATGCTGTTAATGGCTCTGTTTTTGTGTGTGTCTCTTTAAATGTAAATTAGCTGCTGCTCTCCACCCCTTTACAGGGGGGGGCGTAGCCTTTACGGTAGGGCTGGGTGATTTTTCAGATTTTTTCAATTAATTCAAATTTACGTTTTCAGACGATTTAATTTTGAATCAAATCGAGAAATCGCGATTTTAAAAAAAAAAATATTTAATACATTATAATGGCACCAATGCGCTTTGGTTCACTCTGTATGAAGCAGGAAGCACACCAGAAGCGCCGCAGGGCGACGCGCAGCGCAGCACCACGATTCAGGACGCAGGTCATATTACAGCTGCGCCACAGAGCGCCATCTGATTAGTTTCATGTTAAATATAATGTGAATGTGCGCGTCTGGTGTGTGATAGTTAACTGTCATGTGTGCGCCTGTTAAAGCGTGAAGTCATGTAGGATTTTACTTGTTGCCTTAGTCTGAGTCACGTCTGTGTGGATTGTCAAGACATATTCCCTCATCAAGTCGATAAACTCGATCTCAACATGTTTGAAGGACGTAAAATCCTGCCATGTGAAAAACCGCGCCCATCTTTTGGTTTGAACACGAGCAGAGGTGAGGGACTGTAGCAGTTTTTTTTTTTTTATTTATTTATTTATTTTTTTTATTAATGACAGGGTAACAATAACATCATAGAAATGCAAGAGTGTACATGAGTTTTACAGAGGAGCAAATAAACAAGTAAGCACATAAAAGAGAAAAGATAACAAGAATAAAAAGAAAAACAAATAATATTACCTTATGTGTTAAGAAAATTAAAAAAGGAAAAAAAGTTAACCGTTCTAATGGCTTTAAGATTTTTAGAGGAAGCAATAGTTCTAATGTACTGTTGAATTTCCTTTTCAAAAACAATAAAACAAGGTATACGCTGAGAGAATTTACAGCGGTGTATATGGAATTTAGCAAGGATTAAAAGGAGATTAATAATGAAATATTCCTTACTTTTATCATCAGGAGCATTAAAAAAACCCAGCAGGATATCCTTAAAAGATAACAAGAATCCTGGTAATATTTTACGATGAATATCTAAAGAAAGTTCAATCCAAAAGCATTGTGTATGAGGGCAACTCCAAAAAATATGGTCAGCAGTTTCATTGGGTATATTACAGAACGAGCAGCATGTATCTATATCTGTTTAAATCTTTTCAAAAATGTCTTGGCTGGGTAAAATCTGTGTAACAGTTTAAATGAAATTTCTCTAATTTTGTTAGTTATTATATATTTTACAGATAATGACCAAACTTTTTTCCAATGAATTTGGTCATATATTTCCATCCAGAAAAACTTTACATATGGAGTTGTTACAATTTCCTTTTGAAAGAGAGACCTGATTTTATAATTACGTGAGGAACGTTGTGATAAAAAACATATTTTTCCCTCTGAAGTTTCCAAGGGGTGCAATAGCACAGACGAAACACTGGATACTCCACCATAGCCTTTAAAAAGCATTATAACACCTTTAGGAATTGCATCCATTACAAAGGAGAATTCTTTTGGAGTCACCGGGAAACCAAACTTGCATAAAAACTCTTTATAATTTAAAAGAAAACCTTCTGAATTAAATAACTGAGATACAGTCAAAATATTTTTTTCAAACCAACCATTTAAAAATAAAGTTTTGTTTTTATACAGAATGTCCTGATTGTTCCAGATAAAATACTGATGAGGAGAAAGGTTGTGTTTGTAAATCAGTGACCATGCAAGTAAAGCTTGCTTATGAAAATTTAATATTTTAAAAGGTATTCTATCAATGAGGGACTGTAGCAGTGAAAATGAAAGTACCCGCCCCCATGACGTCATTTAGCGGACCTAGTTGAAAAGCAGACAGATTAGGTTACAGTCTATGATCAGGCAGCATAATACAGAGAGTGCTGCAAAGCCCATCAAATGATCGGTATTTAAAAGGGGGAAAAAAGAAAAATAGATTAACTATATTATTTTATATTAGACACACATCTGGTACTTGTTTTTGCTCCTGCTATACGTCCACAACTTCACACATTAGGTTAAATTAGGCTTTACAGTTTCCATGTTCAGTCCTTTTCTTCCACTGTATCTTTTTAAGAAAAAGGCATCAGCATTACAACCTGTCATTCAATCAGAAGAAGACAAAGTCAAAGCCGAGCTGACAGCCAATCTTTCCTAGGCTTAGCAAAACTTGCAAAAAATACATCTGTATTCCTGCAACTGCAATATTTACACAAATATTTCGGTAACACTTTAGAATAATTATCCGTTATAACTAGTTAATAGACCATTAATAAACTGTTAGTTAACAAGTTATAAATGACTTGTTAAACAAAAGTTAATAGATAGTTAATTATTTATAACTGTGCCTTATAGATGGCTATTAGATAACTTACAAGCTGTTAGTTAACAAGTTGTAAATGACTTCTTAACTGTATTTTAATGATTTATAACTATACCTAATAAATTAGTAATAGATCATGAACAAGCTGTTAGTAAATTACTTAATAAAGGCTTGTTAAGTATCAGTAAATAGTGTATATATGTTATTGGGACGTTATTCTAAAGTTGCAGCTATTCTTCATTTATTAACTTTTAGTAAATGAGGAATAGTTGCAACTTTAGAATAACGTCCCAATAACATGCTTAAGCTAATAACTAACACTTAACTATTATATTTACTCACACTTTACAGATCAGTTGTTCACCATCTAATAACACCAGTGAAACATTTTTATTAGACCACTGGTGTAATTTTTATTTTTTATTTTTTTTGTTTTCATGTTTAGCACATCATGGGTTTGTATTCTTGCATACTGCTGTATTGCCATGTGATGGTTCAGTTTGTGTGTTTCTATACACTAAACACAACGTTTAACATTTCATCTGTGGAGTTTCTTTGGTAAAACACAGCACACAGAAAAGCCTATAAGTGGAACAAGGTTTAGAAACAAACATTTTATATTTTAAATATTACATCAAATTTCTGTAGCTTGAACTTGTTCCATCCATTTGCTGTTCTAAAAAGATTCACCGGTATTAGTAAAGTTGCAACTATTCCTCATTTACTAACAGTTAA